TATCCCATAAAAACTTTTAATTGTTATGTGGAGCTCTACGAAATTAGCAAAGTGGTGTAGGGTATCATAAAGTCGGCCCCGCTCGACTTTAAGACATTCTTCACTGGTTTAAAAATTTTGGAATTTTTAAAAAAATTGGATTATTCCGAAAAGACAACTCCTTCTTGGTGGGGTATCAGATGGATTGGACCAATTTTGTCCATTTTCACACAGGACCTGAATCTGGGTCAAGCATAAGTATATTCTAAGTTGCAACTAAATCGAATAATGGCTTCGTTCGCCCTAAGATTATTTTTTTTAAAGTATTGTATTATTTTCTGTGAAAAGTCCGAAACTGGGCGATCTTAAACATCGATCAGATGGAGTGGACCAATTTTGTCAATTTTCACAAAGGACTCGTTTTCAATTATAATGATCATATAAAGGCTAAAGCTTGAGTCTTCTACTTTTCCGAACACAAAACAGAAAATAGCAATTCATTTCGTAGGTAACTGTTAAGATCTTCAAACTCAATTACCAAGGACTCGCAAGTGCGCGCTACTTCTTCGACGAAAAGTCCTCCTTTAAATTTTAGATTCTTTCCTGTAGTTCGTGTTAGGCCTCTTTAGTACTTCAAATGTACAATTTCTTCAGTTTGTCAACATTGTTTATACCCTCCACCAAAAAAAGTATGGAGGGTATATTAAGTTCGTCATTCCGTTTGAAACTCATCGAAATAATTATTTTAGACCCAACAAAGTATATATATTCTTGATCAGCGTAAAATTCTAAGACGATTTAGCCTAGTCCGTCCGTCTGTTGTAATCACGCTACAGTCTAAACGAATTAAGATAGGAAGCTAAAATTTTGCACAGATCTCTCTTTTGTCTGCAGGCAGGTCAAGTTCGAAGATGGGCTATATCGGTTCATGATATCGTGTAGCCCCCATTTAACGGTACCCCCGATATTCGGTATTTTGATGATTTTAGCAAATTTTTCAATGGAATTGTCTGAAAATCCACACAAGTAGTTCCTTGTGGGTACTTTATACCTCGGCAAAGAATTATCTATATAGGTCCGCAATATCGTATAGCACCCATATGACGGTACCCCCACGGTATTCGGTATTTTGATGATTTTAGCCACATTTTTCAATGGAATTGTCTGAAATTCCACAAAAGGAGTCCCTAGTGGACATTTTACCCCCTCAAAAAGAATTGTCTATATAGGTCCACGATATCGTATATCCCCCATATAACTGTACCCCCCGATATTCGTTATTTTGATGATTTTACCCATATTTTTCATCGGAATTGTCTGAAAATCCACACAAAGAGTTCCTTGTGGGTACTTTATACCTCGGCAGAGAATTATCTTTATAGGTCCACCATATCGTATAGCGCCCATATAACGGTACCCCCGATATTTGGTATTTTGATGATTTTATCCACATTTTTCAATGGAAATGTCTGAAATTTCACAAAAGGAGTCCCTTGTGGGCATTTTATGTCCACGATATCGTATATCCCCCATATAGCTGTACCCCCCGATATTCGGTATTATGATGATTTTAGCAACACTTTTCAATGGAATTGTCTTTAAATCCCCACAAGTAGTTCCTTGTGAGTCTTCACCCCCTGAGAGAGAATTGTCTATACAGGTCCACGATATCGTATATCCTCCATATAACGGTACCCCCCGATATTCCGTGTTTTTATGATTTTACCCAAATTTTTCATCGGAATTGTCTGAAAATCCACATAAGGAGTTCCTTGTGGGTACTTTATACCTCGGCAGAGAATTATTTATATAGATCTACGATATCGTATAGCCCTCATATAACGGTACCCCCGATATTCGGTATTTTGATGTTTTTAGCCATATTTTTCAACGGAATGGTCACAAGGGGTTCTTTGTACACAAGGGGTACAAGGGGTATAACGATACCCCGCGATATTCGGTATTTTGAAAATCCACACAAGGAGTTCCTTGTGAGTACTTTACACGCAGACATAGATTTGTCTTTATAGGTCCACAATATCGTATATCCCCCCCATATCGGCACCTTCCTACATTAGATATTTAGATTTAGATAGATTTAGATAGATTTTATTTTTTTGAAAAATTTCTAATTCGTTCCAAATGGTGGAGGGTATTCAAAGTTCGGCCCGGCCGAACTTACTGCTTTTTTACTTGTTTAATAATTACTTCGTACATCGTACTAAATGTTTAGACTTTCAAGCTATAATATGTTATTCAAGGTTTTCCTTTTTCAAAAAGATTAATACGGAAATTTTTACCTTTTACCCCAAAAAGTCATCAAAATCATTCTTTTTGAAGTTAACAGAGGAGAATATTAGTAAAACATTGCACCGTAGACCCACATTTAAGTTTTCTGACAAAATTATTTCAACGTCTCCATATGTAAACCGTAGAGACCAAGATAGACCTTAATTTCAGGATTTCAGATCTGTAATTTCACCCCTTTTCAAACGTATTAGCTTTTAGTACAATTTTAGTACGCATATCCAAAGACCAGCTCCTTCTCTCAACAAGGGACACCAATAGTGGCATTCGTACCAAATTTGAGGATTCGAGGATTCCAACACTATCCCTTTACCCAATACCAAATTTAATAACATTGGTAACATAAGCTATCCACACTCATCCTTGCTTTTCGGGCAATTATAGTACGCATTTCCTAAACCACCACAAGATAAAAACAGACACCTCAATATCGATTTATAGGATTTCAGATTTATTCCTTTACCCAATACCAAATTAAGTACTATTTAGTATCTTTCGTACAATATTTGTACACATTTCGAAAACCACCTCCATATCTCGCTCTAGATAGCAACCGAGACCTTAGTATCTAATTTTATGATTCTAGCTTTATCCCTTCACCCAATACAAAATTTAGTACCATTTAGTACTTTGCAAAAATGTAGGACTATCTCAAATACAGATACCATCAGTAATCCAAGTATCAAATTTTTATAACTACCTAGATCATGAAATCGTATTTCTCAATTTCTGGATTCCCTCTCTACTCCCAAATTTAGTCCCATTTGATACACATAAGTTCGAATTTCTTAAACTTCCTACATACCCCTATCCTACACTCCCACAGTAATCCCAATTTCAAATTAAAGGATTCCAATCCAATCGGTTTGCCCTAATCTAAATTGTACCAAATTTAGTACTTTTTAGTACCCATAAGTACAGTTTTCCATAATTACCTACATCATACAATCTAGCAGAAATCTTATTTTCAAATTGCGTCTCTACTAGTTCTCCAAAAATTTAAATTGTTCCGAATTTAGTACCGTTTGGTACACATAAGTACGAATTTCGAAATTGTCTACACGTTCCAATCCTGCAATACAACAGCTATCTTATTTTCAAATATCAGAATTCCATTTCCATCCTTTGCTAAAAATTCATATTGTAACAAATTTAGTACCATTTAGTACACATAAGCACGAATTTCAAAAACTACCTATACTACCCAAATGCTATGCAATAGTAATATTTCCAAATTTCCAGCTCTATAGGTTCATCCAAACCCTAATTGTACCATATATAGTACCATTTAGTATTTTCCGTGTACATAAGTACACATTTCGAAAATTTCCTCCACATAACAATCCTACACTTCGCCAGTAATGGAATCCAACACCATTTGTTCCTCCAAATTCAAATTATACCTAATTTAGTAGTACCGTTTAGTACTTTTCATATACGTGAGTACACATTTTCAAAATTGTCTCCTTACATCGACCCAAATCCTCAACTTTGATTCCCATTCCGAATTAAAGTTTTTAGCTCTAATCGTTCATATGATACGAAATAATACCAAACGTAATACATTTTAGAACTTTCCGTACACTTTTAGTGCGAATTTCCAAAAATCCTTCGGTATATCTATCACACACCACTACTTTACTGACCTTCATTCCAATTTTAATAGCTCTAGCACTACAGGATCGTCAAATACAAAAATCAAACATAAAATTTCACAATTTCTATCCCTTCAGCCAATGCCAAATATAGTACACAGTTCGGAAATGACCTCCATATGTCCAGAATTCAAGCAAATTTCAAGTTCACCCAATTCCAGACTGTACCAAATGTAGTTCAATCTAGTACTTTTTGTGCACTTGTGTTACACATTTCTAAAACCCCCTCTAAATCACACACTTACAACAGAAGCTTCAATAAAAATTTTCAAAATTCCATCTTCATCCTTTCACCCTAAACCAAACTGTTAAACCAAATTTAGTACCATTTAGCACAGTTCGTATACGTAGTACACATTTCCATCATATATCAAACTTACTTTCCAAACTCAATTCTTATACAAAATTTCAAGTTTTTATCTCCATCCGTTCAAATAATACCAAATGGTACCATTTCAAAAGTTTAGTACCATTTTAGAACATTTCGTAATCTTATAGTTTGAATTTCCAAAAACCCTTTGGTACATCCATCATACACTCCATCAGTGACCGTCATTCAAATTTTAATAGTACTAACTCTACAGGTTCGCCAAATACAATGTATACCATATTTAGTACCTTTAAGTACTCTTCATACCATTGTAGCTCGAATTTCCAAAAACCAACCTTATCTGATACCTTCGGACCAAGAGCTTCAGCTGGTTCGTCTGGTCATTGATAAATCGTTAGTCTATCAGTCAGTCAGAGAATTACTTTACCCTTTTGTTAGTATAGATTACATTCAAAAACTTAATTTACACCATGGCGTATGAGTATTTCCAACAAGCATACGCCCCATGTACCAATAAACTTAATGTACGAAACTTGGGGTTTGAGGCCTATTTCAATTCAAGCCATGATGTATCTATTATAGTAACCTACATTTTCTTAACAGACTCTACCTCATTCTCAATTATTGTCCCTTTTGTATTTCAACGCCCTTCTTTGCTAAATATGTCAGTTATATTTTAAACATATCTTTATCATTCAACACATTTTCTTGTTTCCTTCTCTTTGCAGACCGATTTGCCACCCTTCATCGTTCGTATGCGTATGTGGGACAGCTATGGCACATATGTGCCAATCAACAAACAAACAAGTGTTACAACAGGTCAACCACCTCCGCCGCCGCCTGTTGCTTCGTCTGCCGATGGTGGCAAACCGACATTGTTGGATCCGGCCACTTACGGCAACAGCTACTACTACAGTCCACAGAATCCCAAGCTGGGCAGAAATTTACGTGTCAACATTGATAATGCCTGGAATCCGGTGGATACCTACATCTATGGCCCGACCCAGTCGAGCATCTTTAATCAGGAGAATAAATACAGCGGTTATCAGCAGCAAAGTGGTGGAGGCGGCGGTGGTGGTGGAGGCAAACAATCCGGTGGCAATGGCATAAATGCGGTAAAAGAAAGCTTAAATTATATTTCAAGCGGCAAAAGTGGCAAAGATGCTGGGCAAAGTAGTGGCATCAGTGGCGGTGGTGTTGGCAATGCCATGGCTCTGATGAGCACCAAGGGAAAACGACGTTTAATGTTGGAAATTTACGATTATTGGACACCTAAACTGTGCGATCACACGGCAATTAGCAGTACAGGCAACACATTGGGTCTTAATCGTCTGCGGCCATGTAGTCCTTTGGAAAGTTATGTTAGCACCGGCAGAGATTTGGTAAGTAAATTAAAAAGGCACGTACACACACACAAACGTATGCTACCAAAGTAAGCTCAATGAAGTCAATGGGGGTAAATTGAGAGCAACTCTTTTGGGGGGTTAAATTTTATGAATTCCGTTTTTAGACAAAACAAAATATATTTTATGAACTAAGTAAATGAGTGAATATGTTCTTAACAAGTCAAACAGTATCAGCCGGTTTTGCAGACAGATGTATAGCCCAGCCTTGACTTATGATTTTTCAAAGTCTTGACTCTATGTGGGGGAGGTTCTGAAGCAGTTGGCCAATATTGACCAATCTGTATCAGACCAAAAACTGATATAATTATTACAACGTGACAGATTTTTACTATATCGACTACTCCCTGTACTTCATAAGAGATATGTGAACATTTTTGGAAAATGTGGAAATATGCGTGAGATAACAGATATAGCGGACCGAAGTATTCCGATTTCATACCTCCTCATATTCATATCAGATTTCTGGTTAAGAGAAATATATAGATATAGCAAGATGTAAAAACTTGCGGATTTGTTATGATAGATATAAGTATTGGAAATTGTGACCCTTTTTGGTTGAGGTACCAGAAGGGGTTGGCAGATGTATATAATCTTCACAACAGATCATGCGTTAGCAATAATGTTTTTGTGTGGGAAATTTAAGGAGATGGATGGATGGATTTGGATGATTTATTCGCTTTCTTTGTGCAGGAGGTACCAGAAGGAATAGTTCGATCTTTACCATCTCTATAACAAATTTTGCGTTGATGGAAACATGGAGATGAGCCAAGTCTGAATGCAATCGAATGTTAATTTCGCGTTTTATGAGCTTCATGGATATTCAAAATTTTGACGACTGATATATCCCATCTTCACAGCAGATCTTGCGTTGGTAGTAATAATGGGATAATTGAAATTTGAAGACAACAGGATGCTTATTTCGGATTTTATAATCGTCTTGGCTATTCAAAACTTGACCCTTTGTGGGGGGGGGTCCCAGAAGTAATGGTCCGATATCTACCATCTTTATAACAGATCCTGTGTTAATTCAAATATTGAGATGTGCGAATCTTGAATGTAATCGGATGTTAATTTCGTGTTTTATGAGCTTCATGAATATTCAATATTTGTGGGGGAAGTTCTAGAAGGAGTAGACCGATATATCCTATATTCATACCTTGGCTTAATAAAAATATTGTGATGTGTATAATTTGAAGATAATAGGACTTTTAGATCATATTCTATAAGAGTTATGATTATTCCAAATTTTGATCTTTTGTGGGGGAGGTACTTGATTGAGTTGATCGATATTGTCTTTTTTCGCACCTGACCTAGAACTAATGCAAATATTAGCATTTGCAAAGTTAGAGAAAAATCGGATTATCATTTCTCTTTCTGTGCAATAAATTATTTTCTTTGAAAATGTTGACATTTTGTGTGGGAGGTACCAGAAGGAGTGAACCAATATTGTCATCTCCGAAGTCGATCTACGTTTGACAATAATATTACGATGTACCAAATCGGATACTCCCTTCGAGAGTTATCGTGCGCACCATCCAACCAGACAGACGGATGGACATCGCTAGATCGACTCCAAATGTCCTGAAACGGATTTGGTCTAAAGAGACCTTGGGTCTAGAATCGTTATTTCGACTAGGCACGTTTTGGCCGTATCAAATGATATATACCCTCTGTAGCCATATGGCTGAGAGTATAAAAAGTTATTCGTGATGGAATTCAAGCGTGATAGTGTGATTTCTTTATATTTGGCTGGAAAACCAAAAGTGGTTATCGTTAGACTACTCCAGCATTTAAATGTGAATACATTTCTGTGTCTCGTACCATCGCTCGTTACAGTGATACTGACGTCAAGGAAGTGGACGGAAGACAACAGAAACATCAGCAGAAATGGTTCGAAACGTGAAGAAGCGACTTGATCGTGACCCGCGTCACAGTGGCCGAAAAATGGCTCGTAAGCTGAACATATCGCAATATTCCATTCAGCAGATATTGAAAAATGAGCTCGGGGTAAACCCATTAAAAAAAGTGCAAGAACTTACACCGCAACAGAAAGAAAATAGACTCAAAAGAGCAAATGAGTTGCTTCGTTTGGCCGATAGTGGTGAACTGCCGAATTTGGTTTTCTCCGTCTCCGATGAGAAAACATTCGTTGTCCACCAGTTTGTAAACAAACAAAATGATCTTGTTTATTTGCCAAAGAGGTCAGCTGAAAATGTGCACCTTCGGTTGGCCACCAGAACTCAGGCGCCAGCCATGGTGATGGTGTTGGCCGCCATATCGTATTAATCGACCGTGGCATCAGAATGCCGAAAAATATCGCGAATATATTCTAGAGGGTGTATTAAAGCCTTGGGCATGCAAACATTTTGGCCGCAACATTTTGGAAATTTCAACAGGGCTCAGCACCATCGCACTCAGCACGCGCCACCCAAGAATGGTTACAAACTTAGGTTCCTCGCTCCATTTCCAGCGCACAATGGCCACCAAAATCTCCGGATACCAATCTGTTTGACTATTTTGTCTGTAGTATTTTGGAAAGCAATGTTGGCACTAAAAAAATACTAAAGTGTCAAGTTCTGAAATTTGGAGTTTTCGTGACTCCTGAAATATGGAGTTTTCTGCGTTTTTAAATATTGAGTTTTCGCCAAAAGCAAGCGCTTCGGCGAAAATTGGCCAAAATACCGCAGAGCAACATTCGGGCAGCGTGTGACGGTTTCATTGGCCATTTGAAGGCCATAATTCGTGCCAAACGTGACCAATTCGAATAAATCTAAACTTATACTAAATTTTGATGATTTTTAGCAGTTTTTTTTATCTCACCCTGTATATGCATCCATGTTAAATCATTATTATATTATTGCCATATTTGAAATTTCAAAGTTCCTTATAAAATTAGCATTAAACAAAATAACTTTTCCCAATTAATATTAATTACTCCTTGCCATTTCATTAAAAATTAATATTGCTCATACGCCCCTTGGTCGCCGAATTAATTTCTATTTATATTAATCATACGCACCTTTGTCCTTTGGTTTAATTTCATTTCATTTGCGATTTTGTTGACACTTTTGTATGCATCGGCACAAATCCCTAAGAGATTTCAATAATTTTTCATAATTTCCACGAAAAATCCACCAACCAAAAAACAACAACAACAACGGGAGCAGCAAAAACCAATCATTTACATAAACTATTCATAAATCAACCAAAATCCATTAATTCCCAGAATATTGTGTGGCAGTAACGTAACTCGGCATTTACATATGATTTAATATGATTTCTGCGGTACCCATACGGACTCATAAAAAATTCACAATAAATGGTTAAAATTACTTTCATGACGACGATGGCTGTTGCTGTTGTTGTTTTTCACCTTTTGTTATGGAAAGTTAATAACATTGATTTCTGCAATTTCCTATGGCCAGAGCGTGTGTGGCGATAACATATTAAACCACAATAAAATATAAAATATAATATTTTTTTTTTTGCATATCATTGCATTAAACATTAACGGTATTTTTGTTATGCGGAAAATGAAGAGCGTAACAACCAACCGAACGACCAATGTACTTACTTAGTGCATGAATTTTTCATTAAATCAAAGTACAGTATTGGACAAATATGGATGGTATGGCCTGCCAGAGTTTTTGCCACCAATTGGACATTGGTATCCGCAAAATTTTTGTTGAGGTTTTTTCCACTTCGTTTTTTTTTTTTTTTTTTTTTGGGGGTTTGGTGTTGCTTTTGTTATTTGCCAGCCAACCTATAAAAATATGAAAACGACATCACTCCAACCCCCCCGACTAACCACCATCATCATGGCCATGACTGTGACTCCTTGGCGAATGAACATGTCCCACTCGCCCACTCCAAATGCCTGAAATGACTACAAAAGAGAAATATTGTAAAATTAAGCCATAAAATTTTAATAGACTTTTTTGTGGTTCACAACACAATTTGAGGTTTTCATTGCATATATACATGAGGCTTAAGATTGGATTTTTGTGTATGCAGGCGCAGCATACTTAGATGATGATGATGATGATGGCGAGGATGTTAGACCTGTTGGGTGGGTGAAACAACAGCACTGTAGTCATCATTGTAGCCGCGATGTGAGCTACAAACAAAACAGCCCATATAAATGCCATCAAATTTTGACCATGTTGCAATGCTGCTGTGGATGGTCATTTTGGTGTTTTGTGCAAACATTGATGCTACTGATGACATTGACGCTGATGACCAGCACCAACAGCAACACCATCACCACATCAACTCAATTGTTTCGACTAATGGTTCATCAGTCTGTCAGACAGCTGGCAAGTCGAACTTCAAAAAAACATAATGCGTAATTATGTGAGAGTGAGTCAAAATGCCTTCAACACCCCGGATGTGACATGTTTTGTGGAAGGTAAAAATTGTACAATTCTTCCGATAAAAATCAAAAGAATCAAGAAGAATTTAATCCTTAAAAAACAACAAAAAAGTCCTCTCATACAAGTCAATTGTCCAGTTCATTTTAAACACATTTTAAAGCCGAAAAAAGTTTTTATATCCTCTGTCATATGACTACAGAGGGTAGAGGGGGAGATAAAAAAACTGCAACAAAGTCATATGCCATAATTTTTATACCCTACACCACATAGTGGTAAGGGTATTATGTCTTTGTGCATTTGTTTGTAACATGGAGAAGGAAACGAGATAGACCCATAGTTACTTTTGAGAACCTTCATAGAATCACTTTCTGAGTCGATTTATGCATGTCAGTCCGTCTGTCCGTCCGTCCGTCCGTCTGTCCATGTATTCTTGTGAACAAAATGCAGGTCGCATTTATTATCCGACTGAGATGAAATTTTCCACACAATATTTTTTTGGCCCAAGGACGAACCCTATTGAAATTGGTGAGAATCGGATCAAATTTGGATATAGCTCCCATATATATCTTCATCCGATTTCGGGTTAAATGTGCACCAAATGTC